ATTAGAACCAAATGAAGATAATGAATTAATTGAACAAGTAGTAGAAGATAATAAAACAAATAGAACAGAAAGAGAATATGCTAAAATTAAACAACAAAATTTATTAGAAATTATTTTAACTTATTCTTAAAAATAGCTTCTATTATTCAAATCTATATTATTTCTCTAATATTATTTCTATAATAATTATTTTTCTAATATTATTTCTATAACAATTATTTCTTTAATAATATTTTTCTAATGATTACTTCTATAAATACATCTAGTATCACTACCAAAGTAATTATTTAATCATTTTTTAAATTTCAATCTATGTACAAGAATAACAGAGCTAAGAAATTACAAGATTTCTTGAATAATTTTTTTTAAATTTATTTTGGTTATTCAGCAAAAATTGATGTTTTATTTTGGTTATTTGGCAAAAATTGATAGCAATAGATTATTTTGGTTATTTGGCAAAAATTAATTTATACATATGTACATAGCTTATTTCATTTTATCGAGATGTACTGTACATATGTACGTACGTACGTATGTTTTTACGGACATACCTAGAATGCTGTATGCATACTTTGCTAAGTACATTTAAATAAATTTTGAATAAATCGAAGTGTTCGGGTAGTTTATTATATTTTAAAATTCTCTAGCTGTATCAAAGTGCTTAAAGTCGTCTTTCATGTTTAAAATTCACTAGACAGATCGATGCATTAAAAATAGTAGCTTGTTTTGTAAATTTCTGATAGAAAGAAGTTTCAAAATTAACATGCGGAAATCTAATTTTGGCGAAATTGATAACGTATTTATCTTCAAATAAGCGACGTATCGGCTTTATTTCACTTTCTGATAAATTTGTAATAATGATTTTTGTGGTGAAAAGTTTGTTTATTTCATTAAATAATTTCGAAACACTCCCATTTTATTTCCCGATTTCAAAAATTATACACAAATAAGGTGTTTTAAACTTCCACTTATTTCCAAAACACGCTTTTTATTTTTTTTGTTTTTAATTTTAAAGTTCTATAGTATTAAAATTCTCTAATAATCGAAGCAAGTACAGTATAGTTTCACATTTAAAATCCTTTAGATAGGGCGAAGCGCTTGAAACAGTTTTTACAATTGGATAAATCGAACTTATACTATTTCTTGCTTACATGATCCGATTTTTATGCATATTATCTTTTTAAGTTATCATATCTAAATTTTTTTTAGTATAGTCACAGAGTTACTTTAATTAGACTTTTATATTGCTATACTACATTTGTATATAACATGTATACAGTATAAGTAGGATCATTCTTTGTAAATAGAGGAGAGAGTTTAGGAAGTACTTCTTTTGTTTAGCGGGAATAAGGGATATTTGAGAGGACATTTGTATACCGGATACACTTGTTGTAAAGACACTTACTTGCATCGCTCATATTTTTTAGTACTTTTAGTGTCTTGTACGTAATAATAAATAATTGGTTTTTTAATTTTAATGCTTACGACCAGAGTTGAATTGGCAGTACGGTTAGAAAGTCTCTCCTTTGTCGTGACAACATTCATTTTTCCGACATTCACTCCCTCGACACATCTTCATTTCCCCAATATTTACTTTCCCGACACTTTCGCATTTATCCCCACTACTATAACCACTTCAACAATCACCCTCCCAACCATAATCATATTCCCGACATAACCACATTCATTCTCTTGATTAATAAAATTACCTTTAAATACACTGAATTTACAAAATTGTTCCTCCCTTCTGCCTTACTGATTTATACCTTGAACTCATATAAAAATGACCCTTACTTCTATTACTAATTAGCTAACAATTATTTCAGTTCGCCACTCAACAATTATGTGCGATCATAATCTTAACCGAGATAAATCCGTATCTAACGAGAAAAAACAGCTCACTGCTATACGTATTAACTCATAATTCGGAATATATACATACAAATCTTCATGGCGGCAATACTTTACAAAATGTCAAATATATATATATATTGTACTATAAATGCACTTTTTCTTATAATTCTTTAAGTGCACGCTGGTTCCAAGGGGTGTTTTTAGAGGTTTTACTGTATATAGCATTTTTTTTTATTCAGTTTGGTGAGATGATAGAATTCCTGAAGCATCAACGATTTGGAATGTTTTTCCAGTACTTATTTGTAATCGGTAACAAAAAAAGTCGTAATTGATCATGAAATTTTATAATAAATTTAATAACTAAAATGGTCTAGTCAAAAAGATAAATGGCCATGCAGAAATTTAACACACTCGTCAACTTTTATGATTAAGCTCCAGTATTGTTACTAGTTTGACACAATCGCACTTACAGTAATTGCATATTGTATATAATTTCTGGCCGATTCACAAAACTAAGCCATTCAGAAAGCTTATTACGAATTGCTTCAGCAGTAGGTCGTTTTTGCGAGTCTGAATCCATACATAATTTTGCCAATTCAATATAGCAGTTAGCTGTTCCTAAAGCAAATACTGGTCTCCTTCCACTGCAAATTTCTAATGCAAGTTCAATATCAAATGGACGTCCATAAAATGGACGTATTCCATTATCTCCGCTATAATAACGCCGAAACTATATATATCGGCTGCTGGTGCATATTCCTGGCCTAATAAAACTTCAGGTGTAATATAAGGCATAACCCCACAAATTCCATTTTTTGAAATGCATTCTTCATTCTTTCGTGATAACCCTAAATCTGTAATATAGGATTTTAACGAACCAAGTCACGATTCTTCATGTTGCAAAATGTTTCCGCAGTGAAGATATATCCTGCTTTGTGAATTTTAATTAAATCCTTTGAAATATCAATTAATAATAATAATTTATCTTCCCAAGTAAGTTCTTTAAAGTTCAATTTTAGATAATTATGGAGATCTCCTTTATTTGCATATTGAAATACCATCATATATTCTTCTGTTTCGTATTTTGAGTTAATCCATATACTACAAGCCTGCTACCACTTAATCTACATAGCATATGATACCAGACATTTTTTCATGGAGTTAGATCGTGATTTTTTTCCCATAAAATAAAAGTAAAAAAAAAATCATTTATTGAGTATTTCAGTCTTACATATTTATGGCTAATTTTTATTATTTACAACGAATTTTCTCTTACCTCTACATTATACTTATACTTTATTTCTAGCTCTTTAACGCTTAACTCCAATTTCATTTTATACTCTAGTTCTAATTTATGTTTTTCTAATGCTAATTTTATATTTTCTAATTCAATATGTTTTTGATGATCGAATTTTTCACGCTCAAATTGCAATTTTTCTTTTTCTAAATCATATTGTTGTTGTTTTGTTTGTGCAGACAATTTTTTACTTTCACTAATTGCGGTCATTGATTGAATGTAAATTTCATCATCTTCACTTAACTTACTACGTTTCTTTCTTTTCAATGAACGATCTTTTTCTGGTTGATTAATGTTTTTGGAAACCTATTAAAAATTAGTATAGAATTGATAAAAAAAAAAAAACCAAGAGAATTAAGATATTTATATATGCACGTACGTATAGTGCAAAAAATTTAAAAACCTCAACACTTTATATAGAACAAAAAATGACCAGCACATTGAAGATAAATTAAGTAGAGCTTATTTTAAGTTTCAGCCGTATATATAATGATAAAACAGCTCCAATTAAGTGTATATTATTTTTTGCATATTATTTCTATGCTTATTACTCTATT